ATAGGATTTGTAATATATCTAATATTGCAAATGTGCAATCCTTTTTATTAACGTCTAAAATGAAGTTCACTGATATGAGAGAATTTGATCATATCTAGTTTCGATACTTGCTCTATGCTCCGAAAGTCATTTTTTTCTTTCATTAATAATATGATTTCGAAGTTTCCTATATGGAGTACCACCTAAAAAATGAGCGTTTGCTGCTCTTTATGATTTGGATATGAGTGTGAGAGTGGTTTTAGGTGTGAGGATGGATGTACATTAGTCTTCTCTCAACCAAAACCCATCTCCTCTCACATCCATACTCTCATCTGAACTATTGGTTTGTTTTGGATTCAGTTGGATGTACTATTCAAAAGCATCAAGCGATTGATTTTTATTTCTATATAGACAAAACTTGGCTAGAATGTCGATTCAAAGATAAAGAAGGTACAACAATAATCAAACCCAATGAATGCGAACATCTTACTCATCCTCGTGGAGAAATCGATGAACGCATTTTGAATCGTATTAAAGGCTCGATGTTTGGATTAGTTTTGGGAGATGCATTGGGTGCTCATGTCGAATTCAGACCCCATAGCTATTTGCTGGCTAATCCAGTTATTGACCTACGAGGTGGAGGAACATGGGGCCTCGAAAAAGGACAGGTAAATTTGACTAAACTCTTTTTGAATGATTATTGAATAGCAAATCTACTAATGCATAGCTTATGCCGTCCCACAGTCTAAATTAATATACTTCTGTTATCAAGAAGCTTCTTTATTTGAGGGTGAGGAATACTGATGAAGAAACTATCAATTTTTTCGAAGAATGAGATATTAGCTTTCATATGTTGTGTAGGAAATGTAAATACAAGCAAAATTCTATCAAATCTAAACTGTTTTCATAAACATGAAAACAGTTTACTTCAAAGTCTCTCTGAAAAAAAATGTCTACTTACTTTTTTGTGTGGATCATATCAGGAGATGCGTCATGGAAATTTTCTTTCCACTTATTTTTTTACAGGAACTAAATGAGGTCTGAAAAACTACCGTGTTAAACATTGAGGAACTTGATTTTGATAAAGATCTGTGTTTTCTCAATATATTTTGCATTCATTAATGACAGAGCGAAACTTTTTTGAAGTAAAGAATATTTCCAAAGACAAATGATGACAATTTCGATGTAAACACTCAATAGTCACTCATGCAAAAACACAAGATTCATTAAAAATGAGATCGTTCCGTTTTCTTTAGAAAGTGTTAAAAGATACATTTGAAATTCACTACTTCCTGCATCAAACTTCATGTTTCGAGACTATTTCTTCGTAGCTGTAACATCGAAAAGTCAGTGATCAAAAGATTTCTTAAGTTTTATTAAAGTTATGATGAAATATGAGATAAAATGTTGATAGTGAAGGTAATGCCATGGTTTGATTCTTTAACCAACCAATAGTATCCGTCCACAATGTCACTCAGAAAGTCACATCACTTTTATCTCTATATATTCGAACATTCATTGTCTAATGTGCTTCACTAAAAAGTAATTCATCTATATATATAAAGTTTTAGAAGCAACTTTAATCAAATGTTTAAATAAGGAGTATTCGAGATTTTGAATATTTTTAAACAATCTAAGGGAAGTAAGTTTATTCAAAAATATCACTTTGCTACAAAAAAAAAGAACAACAAATAAACAACATTGCAATAATACTGTATGAGTAGATGAAAAGTTTATATTGAAAAAGTAAATTCATAAATGTATAGTAGTCTTATGATGATTTTCCATGTGGTGTTTAGTTCACGGATGATGGATCCATGGCTCTTTGTTTAGCTAATTCATTAGTGGCTCGCCGTGGTTTTGAACCTTATGATCAATTGGTTCGTTATAAATGGTGGTTTAGACATGGTTATATGTCATCGACAGGAAGCTGTTTTGATATTGGTGACACTACTAGAAAATCACTTTGTGAGTTTGAAAGTCGACAAAAAGCCTTCGCTCAAAAGCATGGTCTCCCATTAGAAGAAATCGATTTCTTATCTGATGAGAAGCTTCTCGCAGATTTTCCTATTTATTGCAGTTCAGATGGAGCAGCTGGCAATGGTGTACTTATGCGTTTGGCACCTGTGCCTCTATTTTTCTATCGAGATCCAGAAGTGGCCGTTGGATTCTCTGGAATCAGTGGTCAAATTACTCATGGAGATAAGAAAGCCTTTGATGCGTGCCGTTATTATGGAGCTCTTATTGTAGCTACTATGCACGGTACAGATAAAAATAAACTTCTCAGTGAAAAATTTTATTCATCCGAGATGAAGCAGTGGTTTAAAAACAAGCCTTTAGATTCAGAAATTGAAAATATTGCCAAAGGATCATTCAAGAAGGGAAAAGGATATGACGATGGGATACGAGGTAAAGGTTACGTGGTTAATTCTCTTGAAGCTGCATTATGGGCTTTTTGGAGTACGCAGTCATTTGAAGCGGGTGCTCTAGCAGCAGTAAATCTTGGTGACGATACTGATACAACGGCAGCTATTTATGGTCAGCTGGCTGGTGCTTACTACGGTTTTCATAAATTACCGCCAGAATGGATCGATTGTGTCTATGCTAAGGGCTTCATAGAGTGCTTATGCAAATGGATTGCATACAGAGGAAGTCAACCATACTCCAAGAAGTAATACACATACTGAACATTTAGAATTAAAGACACGAATACCAACGAACTATCATGCATCATATTATTTATTCTCGATTTTGAAGAAGCTTTTCTATCACTAAAACCTTATTTTCTGATTTAGAAACTACAGTATTATTATCATAATAGTCCTTCTAAAAGCACAGAGAATCGTAAAACACCCAAAAGTGGGAGGGGGGGGGGGCAAGCATGTGGGCTCGAACGACTAAGAGATAGACTGCAGCATATAGATAACCTAACATAACGTGTTGAGTTTTTAGCATACGTGTCCCGGTCTTGATGCTTTTAAAGACTTTTCAATGTTTTGCTGGTTTGTTTTCCGAGAATATGGCAGTTGACGTAAATAGGTTTCTTCATGATGATGACCATGGCTCCATCGGTTTCCACAAACTAATCTCGTAGTAACTATTATGAAAATTATTCTTGACTAATCAGTATTATTGAACAGAATAGAATATAGTACATTCAAGTACAATATTCTTCGAGATCAAAACTTGTCATAGCCTCTGAAGACGAAATAAGACGAAGATAGCAATTTACTATGAATATCAACCAATCAAAATTAACTCAGGTTTTTTCAATTGTTTAAATTGAGATAGCTAGTTTTCGACTTCTCTGGATCTTACAATTTTTCATCTCTCAAATCGAGTTTTCAGACGTGTCTTTTAAGGTTTTGTAAGGTGATAAGTATGAATCTAACTTCCCGTCCATTTAGTTAAGCATTCATTAATCATCACGTTCCGCATTTTAACTGTTATACGTGAATGGTCACTTTTGTGTGTGTGTGTGTGTGTAGCCGTGAAATATTTCTGAAACACTAGCACAACGCAAGTAGTCAATGGATTGATTACCTAGCCAAAATTTCAACGACATCGTGTAGTTGATTAGCACAGTTCCATATGAACAAAGCGATCATCATGGTCGTCCTTTTTTCAAACTTTAAGAGTCGAATATTGAAACTTTTCAATAACTCTAATACTCTCTCGCTGACATTATCTCTAGTTAGGAAGGCAGCAGCGTACATCATATCTTCTTCTCTATCCTCTGACTATAGTACATCGTATTTTGTGAAGCACACATTTTGTGTTCTTTTGCGTAAAGAATCCACATATTTGCATAGAGTACTCACTTGAGTAACTGCTGCTATCTATAGGTACAGGTCATCTCTTTATCTACACCCACATCCTGTTGTATTCACTTTTAGCTTCACTACCTACTGAGACGATGTTCATAGATTCAATGCTATAATCTAATTAAATAGGGCAAGAATAGTATTTTGTTCGATCTTAGGTAGGTACATGTCAGTAGATGATTTCATAAGTCTTTGTTTGTTTGCTACATCGCAAGCAGTATTAATAATAAAGAAGTCAATCCGAGGATAGGTACCAGATTAGATTCGTTTCAACGTGAGTCTGAGTGGCAATCTGTATGAGCTAACATTGCTACTGTAGCAATTGCATATTGTGAGACTGTTTGTCCATATTCAAAATCAATTAAATCCACAGTGTCTAATGTGTCATGATATCCAACACGTTCGAAATTTTCATGATAATTTATGTGTTCATTGAATAGCAGACAAGTAAAACCATATTCAACAAATCTAATTCCGTCAGTATTGTACAAATATGCAAATGGATCACTCCATCGACGTAGAACGGGCTGTAAATTCTGTAAGATTAAATCATTTTTGATTCGTGGATAAACATAATTGAGAGCTAATTCAGCCATGAGCAATGATTTGGTTGAATCTCCTGCATTGACTTGAACAATAGGATCACTTCGATTGACACGATGACCGATCATATCAACAATGACAGCAGTGTGTATTGGCTGTTTTTTTATGAATAGCTGCTGTAGGAAATGTGAGACACCCAAACTAGCCGCAGGGTATTCTTCACCAGTCAAATGAACTAACCATATATCACGACACGCCTTTTCTTGAGTTTTTTTCAGTATCGAAGCTGATTGAAGTAAAGCAACCAAACCACTAACATTGTCATCGGCACCTTGCGTTGATTGCCGTTTTCCGGTATTGACGAATGTATCTTCTTCGAATGCAGTGTCAATATGATCGATAAATATTACAGGTTCCTGACATTTGTAGGATCCGCCAGCAGGTATATAAGCAATAAGATTTGCTTGCATTATATTTCGCCAGTAAAATATCTGTTTTTCCGTCCGAATATTCAATTTGTTGTAACGTTCAATGAGATAATCGATTAAGTCCATCAATTGATTATCGGTTTGTATAGAAGATTTACGAGTCAAATAAATTTGCGTTGTATTTTCATACGTGAGTGATTGGACACCACTCAATTGATACATATCTGATCTCCATTGATTGACAAATGTGTTTGGCCATTGAAGATCATTGAACCAAGCATCAGAAACTGGCTTTGTCGTGATTATGTCATTTGGTGATGGAGATGGAACAGTATACCAAAATATATCCGACGGCCAATGGAAACTATTGTTTTGTGTAATGTTGACAAACAACGTGTATGGTTTTCCATTGATCTGAAACGGTTGTGGTAAGAGAACACAAATATTGTGATGTAGTTCCTGTTCGATTTCATTGATTTTTTCGACTGGTAACCATCCTGAACAGATTGTTGTTGTTTGCGTTTGATTCAAAGAGTTTGTATAATTAGTTGATGTCCACAGACAATCACCGAATACGGGTTTCATGTATAATGATGGTAATAATAAAAGGTCAGTATATATTTCAAAATGATGATCTGGATTTGACGTTATAAGTAATCGAGGTAAATAAGGTTCGGGATATTCAGATTCAGTTAATGGAGAATTAACTGACGATGGAAATTTGATCGATGAAGAATTCAACCAGATCCAATGAGTCTCGTTATAAAATATTCTAGCGTAAACCCATGTATAAAAACCAAATGCTCCAAGAGTTGGCCACAATTCAATCATGGTAACATTCATCAATTTATACTCATTCAAAATCGATTGTAATTGACTTTCACCAGCGAATTTGAGTGATTGAGGAAGATAAATTCTGTTGTGTGTCATTAAATCACAATTCATATCGGTTACATTGAATTCTAAATTAACAGGTTTGCAACCAGTATAAAAAGGGATATGTTGATCATCGCCTGAAATGAACGGCTGTAAATAATGTGTTTGAATTGTTACATAAGAAGATAACGGAAGTATACAAAAGACATTATTGTGTTGGAATAAGAGGAAAAATATGATCGTATTTCGTAACATAGTTTTCTATTATGCTGATTATAATAAGATAAAATGAACTTTTGACAAACAATTCTTTGATGATAAATATTTACAATAACATTGATGATATTATATACAAGCTTTATCTCCTTATATATATAACACAGTATGATTTGCATCTTAAATCCTGTTACGTATTGACATAAAATCTAGATTACGAATAGATACGAAGCACCTGTATATGCTTTTCTGCAACGTGCATAAAAGCTCTTAAAGGACAAATCATAACATATCGGTGTTCTACGGAATTACTTTTCATAATCCTAGTGAAATAAAACGCAAGAAAAAAAAAGAATGATATGTAATCAAGAAACTATCTTTAACGTAAGGCGTTCATGTCAATTATTCTTCAAATAATTAAACCATGTATTCTATTTCTCTTCAGAGATTAAAATATCGAAAAGAAAAGAAGATATTTTGGTTCACCTAGCAATAATCATCGCTCAATATTCCAGTAGATAGGGAATATTTCACTGACCTTTCAAACTACATAATCCATATTCTTCACACCAGCGTTTATCAAACTTTCAGAGAATCCTTTTGAACCCATTTTTTTTATACAGCATATCACTGTTGCTACTTGCTAGTGAAAGCTTTTTAATATATTTACTATTAGTTTTGTTATATACCGATCAACAGCTCTTTTTCGAAAGTAAAGTAAGTGTGGATCTATGAAGCAGATCCTCTTTTTAGTCTCATTTTTACATCCATGATATAATCGTATATTCTTTCTGAGGAAATATTGATAATTTAGCATAAATTTTCAAAAGCAGAAGCACATTTAGTTGCTGTCGGAATTCTTGTTGACACTATTACAATTCATCAGATATAAGTTTGCATAGAAAAAACATAAAATATTGAACGCACATGTATTCATATCTACGAAACTATTGTTAAACTATTCATCTGGACTGAAATAACTGTTCTACAGCTAAAACTAATCTTCATTAATCGATGAATTATATATGAATTCGATTTTTTTCAGTGATTTACGTGCCACACTTTTAACCCTAGTTGCGTATTAATCAAGAAGAAGCAATCTTTATTCCAATTCAATACTACTTAGGGCAATCCAAAAAGTTATCGCAGTGGTACTTCTATTCCTTATGAAACACGTAAAGAAACTTTCTCTCTATATAATCTGATAGATGAAAGAATGCTCTATTCTCTATCAGACTATATACAGAGAAAGTATCTTGAAGCTTTTTATAAGAAATAGAAGTACTATTGTCATTACTTTTGGATTATTCTGTATAACTACAAGTAATAGAAGAATTGTTACTAATGAATTGAATTAATCTAAACTTGAGACATATCAATTGATTGACAATCATATTTATTAAATAAAAAAAAAAAAAATTAATTAACTCGACATTTTTCATTTAACGATTCATTAGACATTGGTGCTTGTTGTTGTTGTTGTTGTTGTTGTTGCTTATTAACAAATTCAATTGGAATTTCTCGAATAAGTGGTCGAGAAATTTTTTCTTTAACAAGACGTTGCATTTTAACTTTATTTTTTTCATAAAATTCCATAAAAACTTTATTTTTTTGTTGTGTATTCATTTTTTCATATGTACTTTGATTTATTGTTTTTGAAAAAGCTTGTTCATAAAATTTTAAAATTTTTTCAATTTCAATAGCAGTTGGTCGTTGTTTTGAATCTTCATCTAAACATCTTGAAATAATTTCATCATATAAAATTGGACTTTTTTCAATTATTATAGCACGTGGTAAACGTAAAGATGAACGAAAATCATGAGCTTTTTCTGTAAATAAATGATTTAATGTAAGACCAAATGTATATATATCTAATTTTTCATCAGATTTACAATATCCATCAGATATATTACGAAAAAATTCAGGTGGCATAAATTTTTCACAACCTATTAAAGTATGTTGACCAGTTGGATCAAGAAAACGAGCAATACCCATATCACCAATTTTAGCAACATAATTATCAGTAACAAGAATATTATCAGGTCGAATATCACGATGTATCATTCCATGTTGATGAATACGTCTTATACCTGATGCTATTTGTCGAGACATTGTTAATTTACGTCTTAATGATAATTCATATGGTTGATTTTCAAGAACATCTCGTAAACTTCCACGTCCCATTAATTCCATTAATATCATAAATTGAATTTTTTGTCCACGATTACGATTTGCTGGTATATCACGAGTTGCATATGCAAATGTTCGAAGAATATATGGACCTGATAATTCTCTATATGCAGCTAATTCTTGAAGAAAACTTCGACGTAATGGATCTGATGATGATGATTTACCAGATATTTCAATTACTTTACAAGCAACAGGACGATTTTTTGATTTCCATATTGCTTTATATACATGACCTAATATTTTAATCTATATAAATATATTTTTTCATTTATCAATTGAATAACTTACCAAATCCTCCTTTACCTAAAACTTCTTCTAGTTCAATATCATCTGGATCAATTTTAGGCATAACTCTATTCGAAGTTAATATTAATGGATGATCTTTTTCATGATTTTTCGTACAAATATGTTTATTAATCGCACATATTTCACATAAATTATAATTTGAACATGTATCACATTTAAAACGTAAACCAATAATATTTTTTTGATAACAAATTCCATCACATTTTATACCATCATGTTGTTCATAACGTAATGCATCTAAATTTCTTAAATTATTTAAATTAATTTCATTATCAATATTATTAAATTGTATTCCTAAAACTTCATTTGGTAATTTAAAATGAACCATAGCATGACCAGTAAAATGTTTTCCTGTTTGACGATGTCTTTCAAAACAACGTCCACATATATCATAATTTGATGATGTACATTCTAAACAACGATATCGATCAGTTTGACGTATAGGTTGCATTTCACATACAGCACATTTAGCATCATGAACATCACTATCATCATAAGTATCAGTAGATTCAGTTTTATTAAGTAATTTTGCAAGAACACTCATTAATAATAAATCATTCATATGTTCGGAATTATTTTCTGAAGAAAAATCTATAAGAAATATGTAATGATAAAAATTCTTTAAAAAAAATACAAAATTTATTTTGTTACTTTCAATTTGACGTTTTGATTCACCAGGTGAAAATTTATGTAGAATAGATTCACAATATTCTTTTGTACCTAATAATACAGATAAAGAAATTAATTTAATTTTTTTTATTTTATTGAAAAGAGAAAAAGTTATTAAATTAAAATATTGAATTCAGATGAAAAATCAATAGAACTTGAAGATAGTATTATTATCGTAAAAAATTTGAAAATTTTTCGATGCAAAATATTGCTTCAAAATTCTATTAATTCTTAGGATTTTTAATTTCAACTTATTATTAAGAAATTTCAGTATATAACAATGTGATAAATATTTTTGATCGATGATTGACATGTTTAGTTCTGATCGTATGAACTTTTCAAATAATTCTTTTGATAGGAACTAATCTATTCCATGCAGCAAATTATTTTTTGGAAAACTAGAAAAAATAAATTTTTATCATTATATACATATAAATGAATCCTTATTTATTGTTTTTTTGTAAACAAAAACTTCTTTTAAACAAATCTATAAAAAATACTGCTGTTTAAAACATGATGTAACTGCTATTATTAATTATAGTAAGGTTGTTCTATTCCATATTTGTTTCATCTCATTCTTTTATTTAATTCTCTAGAAATACAGATTATAACCAGAATTTGTTGATATGCAGTTTGTAAATGAAGAGGAAAGCATTGCAAAGATATCTGTCCGTGGAAGAACATTCGAAGATCTACCCCTATACTCATTTTAGATCATGTTTCACTATGAAGAGATTGATTTATTTTACCATGAGCAAGAACTGTTCCATAACGTTTTTCACCATCCATATCAATCGCATAAGTAACATCATCTTCAGGATCTTGTGATGGTGATAGACGAATATATGTTTGTGCGATAATTTCGATTTTCTTTGTGTCTTCCCATTTAATGATACAACAAGGTTCTTTTGCTCGTTGTTCTTCTAAATAACAATATGAAAAGTTAATTGAACCATTTCAAGACTCTTTTCTTACCAAGTTTATTAACGAGTGCTTCCGTTAGATGGCTAAACATGTAAAATTATACGACCGAAAAAAGATGAAGATAATGATAAAACACTAACTGTATACAATCAGATGTCTATAAAACAAATACGAAGAAAAAAAATTAGTAATACAGAAAGAAACTCAAGAAAAACAGATAAGAACGAAAAGGGAAAGAAATGTTTTTCTCAATTATATATTGTTTATTCAATTATTCTGATTCATATATTATTATCTATTACTCATTCGAGCGAGACAATAATCTACTATAATACGGTAAATTAAGGATTACAATTTGATAGGTTTGTAACATCTACGTGACGCGTGAGTCACATATCTTTAGTTTCTTTGCATAGATTTAGCTCATTCCTTATTTTTTGCAACATTATGGAATATATTGCAAAGTTTTCTTCCTGTAGAAAAAATATAAATAGTGACAGCTATATGATTCATTGACTTCATACCCACTGAGTTGTATTTTTGTATAATATCGTACTCTCAATTAGTTATTGCCAAAGAGATAGTGAAACGTTGAAGAAACTTGTATGTCACTGTGAATCATATCATTTAGAGTAATCTATTTCTACCGCTATGTTCCAGAATCAGTAGTTCTAATGAGAAATGCTTTTGATAAAAAAATTCAGCATAATATGTAAAAGATAGATCGAACTTTCAGCTTATTCATGACCTTTGTATAACTTTGTTATGAAAAGAAGTAAAGAGGTCATGTTGATTTCATATCAAAACCAATACCTTTGAGGAACTATTTGTTCAAATGACATTTTAAAATTTTTCTATGATAAAAGTTTCATTTCGATAAATTAGTTTTTCTAAAAAGGTTAGAGTACCTTTACCGTATACATTTAGGAGCACTTAAACAGTTTCTAACCAAAGAAACTTTGCTCTTGCTCACATGTTTTAGTGCACTTTCTATGCAACTGTATGACTATTGTTTTTTTGGTTATATTATCAAGAGAAAAATGTTGATTTAACTAAAGGTTAATAAAAACAACCATTGCAATTCATTGAAAGTATAACATAGTAATTATCGTCTTCAATCAATATGAAAATATAGGTAGAAATTAAAGATAGATTTATCAAGAAAAAAACAACATAATTAATCGTTTTTTTTTCTCGTTTATTTGAATATATTGAAAAAGAGTAGTATGAGAAGAAAAACATGTAACACTTAAAAAAAAAATTATAATATTTGATTAATAATATAATGCGATTAAACTAAGAAAAGTCTTTTTATGATGATTTCCATGGAAATTTTTCTCCTTTGGTATCTTCTGATTGAATACGATTTCTTGCATCATTACAAACAATATCTCCTGAATTTCCATCAAGTAAAATTAATTTTGGAATTCCAGTAATATTAAATTTTTCTTCTATTTTTTCTGCTTTTTCACGTTCTTTAAAATCTAATGTTAACCAAGGCATATCATTATAATATTCATTAAATGAATCTTCATCATTATCAGAACTGATAAATATTATTTCAAATTTTTTTTTTTCTGCATATGATTTATAAAATTCAATTAATACCGGAGTAAAACCACGACATGGTGGACACCTAAGAAACAAAAAAAAAAAAAAAAAGAATTTTAATAAAATATAAAAGAATAAAAATTTACCAATGAGCACTAAAATAAAGACCAATTATATTGTCTTTATATTTTTCATCATTAAGATCAACTAATTCTTTTGATTTATTTAGAATATGACCATCAAAAATTTTTGCTACACCAGCCATGATAAATGTTTTTTACCTTTGTATGAGCCTAAAAGAAACTAATTCAGTAATGATTTATCATTTTCTTTACCTTTTTATTAGTTGTCTTAACCTAACAAAAACAAAAAACAGTTTTATCGTGGCTATGTATTTGATATTAATCAACGACCTTCTCGTTTATTTTGTTTTATATGATTCACAACTGGTTTTTTCTTTTTACTCCGACTGAGTCAAAATATGTTTTGTACTAATGATTATGTTGAAGAATACCAAATGAATAAGAAAAAAAATTAATGAGAAAAATCCAGGTTGATACTGATAGAAACTGTATATTTTTCTATTTCTTTCATTTTTCATAATTAAAAGACGAAGAAGAAGCGATACGAATACTAATAACTTGATTTAGACGAACAACAAACATAAAACTGTAAATAAAAAAGAAAGCAGAGACGATTAAAAAAAATACAATAAGTCTATGAAACAATCATAGAACACTGTCCAAGGAAAAAAATGTTCGCAATAAGATTTTGTTTATTGGATCGGTACCATCTGTAAATGAGTCACTGGAATATCCATCAGATTGTTATTTTCAGATCACAATCGAATTCAGTTTTAATATATCGTTGCCATACTTCACAGCTTAGTCATTCAATTGCAGCATATTTTTTTTTCTCTAGTCACGATTGTGCACATACTTTCACATGTGCTGAGGAAATATCTTTTTTCCTTTCGGGGTATAGGTATCTGATTACATATTGTTCGCACATTATGTTGAGTCATTCTTTGTACAATATAATCATATATGTATCAGTGAGTGTTTCACATTTGGGAAATAATTTTGATGTATGATTTAGTCACGCTCGTCTCTTTTGTATACTTAGAAAGTTAAGATAATTCATAACTCTTTCTTTATATTATCTAACAATATTTGTAATATCGAGCTGTATATTTGGGTATTTAATATTTTGATCAATTGTTTCATATGATTGATCTTCATCGTGAACTTCTCATTATAAATAGAAGATTGAATTAATACTCATTAAAACTCTTGTCATCATGCTTTTTAGCTTGATGTTTTTCGATTAAAAGATTCTTATCTAATCTTCCTGACACAATAGCAAATATTATCGATATAATATTCATACATGCGAACATCTGAATAGTAATTATTCATTTGTATGTGACGATGACTAATAGTCATATTGTTTTTATTTTTTTGTGGATTTTATTACATCTATGGACGCCTAAAACAAGAATCTTAACTGCAGTATATGTAAACAGAATTTGTATTGATCAATTACGAAAAACACAAAGTTGGAAACAACGATCGCAAGATGGTTGACTAGTGTAAAAATATTTTGTTGTATAAAAAAAAAACAGGATTTATGTAAGAGAAAAATTCGAAATATTTTCAAAAAAAATCACTTTCAATGATTTTTAATTTATTTTAGCAGAAAACTATGTTCGACTTTATATTTATTCGTAATGTTTATTGTGATATGTTGCATAGATAAATATATTAAAAAAATGTATTTAACCTACTTACTATAGAAAATAATGCTACGAAAATATTTTCTCTCCTCATCATGGATGAACAGGCCAACATAACGGACAAAAATAGACAAATACAAAAGAACTTCGTTCAATGAACACAAACCTAATAAATATTGATAATCAATATTCATATGAAACAAGATTTGTTATTTGTATTGTCACTAGGAGTTTAAGTCAAAAGTGTGCCACACATATGTATTTATTTTACGTAGAAACAATACAATGAACGATGAATTTAACAGTTTAAAACATTTGAGTTGTGCTACATATGTAGAAAATCAGGTATATTAAAGAAAAACTCGTCATTATTACTTGTCTGCATAGTGAGCTTTCAAAAAGCCTGGTTTTTAAATATCTTTTGTAAGTTTTGTAGTTCTGAAGAATATTTAATCGACAAAACTAGTAAATTGAAAATTAACGCTTTAAAACATGTCGAATCATATATAACATAAAACAATTTTTAAGAAGACATTTTCTCGAAAAAAAAAATGAAGGTAAGAGTCTCTCTCAGATATTTTTCGTCGAAAAACTTTTCCTCCATAAGTATTCTGAGTGTAGTTATGACTGCTGCTATGTGTGGATCTGGTTTCCTACACACACTTTACAAACATTGACATTGCACACCTACACTCGCATATTGTGTCAGCTTCACATCAAATACAAACACACTCTGGTATATAAAATGGAATCTAAAAATCAGAATTTTGTTTGTCTCTTTCATGGTTATTCAATATGTTTGCTTATTTTCGAATCATTGTAAAAGATAAGAACATACTGTTGTTGATCTTATCATGAAAATCATAATAGTACATATTCTATTAATAGAATCAATCGTCTCATATATTTTTAAAAAGTACAATAATCCATTCCAGTCTTGTTTCTTGGATCTTCAAGTATTTAGTACCAAAACGTGTGTGAGATGGCTGATAGTTGCGTGCATCATTAATTTCAACAGTCCAACTTTTCCCGTGAGTTTCATCAAGCCAATTTTTAACATCTTGAGCTATTTTCTGCATTTCTAACGTTCCATGTATATCAATTGATGTACTGATTATATTCAATATATTTACTCTCATCGAATCTGGGATTTCACTTCCTTGTTCTTCAATTTCCCATCTCGTTAGCTTGATCAATTTTGGATTAAGTTTATCTAGAATAATTATTAATTAACTCTATTCACACTAATAACTCTATAATTTATACGAGATTGAAAAAACAGTTTTCGGTGTCATATTCATTCGTAAAGTGTTTTCAAGCTAAATAACTTCCCTTAAAAATAATGGAAAACTTTTTTTTTCTGTCATTGAAACGATTAAAAGTCGTTTTACAACTAATTTTGAGCTCGTCCAATATAGAATACATTTTTCTAGAAAGTTACCGATTGTATTTTGTGAAGCATGATTGAAAATATGTTGAAGGAAGAATAGAAACAATAAAAGAAGAACGATGAACGCCTAGATAATCAAAGAATTCAGTTGATATCCGAAATCAACAAATAGAGCAAAACGTATTCGACTTCATTCATTCTTGTTTCTTTTTCGTGGCAGTTGACCGAAAAACTAGTTAGAGGATCATTATATAATCCTGGTCGATGACCAGTTTTTTACGTCTAGCTCTGTCTGTTTTCTTGAACTGAATACTCCGATTGTAACTATGATCTATAGTAGTAATTTTCTATTCATGAAGGTAGCTCAAAAACATTCTACTTGATGAATTCTGGCTTAGACATTACAAGAATGACT